CTCTCTCTCTCTCTCTCTCTCTGTCTCTGTCTCTCTCTCTGTCTCTGTCTCTGTCTCTCTCTCTCTGTCTCTCTCTCTCTCTCTCTCGTCACCGTACAGGGTTAATTTTGGGGACCCCTGCAGCCCAGTCCACGTGGGAGACAATTCATAACAAGCGGAAGAGTGCTGGCAGGTGGTTGCGACCATGACCGTGAACCTCTTGGAGGACTGGTGCCGCGGGATGGACGTGGACATCCACAGGGCCCTGTTGGTCACGGGCATCCCCGAGGACTGCGGCCAAGCAGAAATTGAGGAGACCTTGAGTGGGGTCCTCTCCCCGCTGGGCCCGTACCACGTGCTCAACAGGATTTTTGTGCGGGAAGAGAATGCCAAAGCCGCCCTAGTTGAGGTGGGCGAGGGCGTGAGCCTGCGGGCCGTACCTGGGGAATTTCCGGGAAGGGGAGGTGTCTGGAGAGTGGTCTGCAGAGACCCCACCCAGGATGCAGAGTTTTTAAAAAACCTGAATGAGTTCCTGGAGGCCGAGGGGCGCTCTTGGGAGGATGTGGTGCGCCTGCTCCAGCTCAACAACCCCCCACCACCCCGCAACCAGAATCCACCTCCAGAGAACTGGGTGGAAGCTTTGGGGGTGCTCCTGGGGACTGTGATGCAGATCGTCTTCCACATGGACGCAGAGATCCGCAGCCTGGAGGAGGCCAGGGCTCTGGAGGCCGCGGAGGCACATGCTGTCGCGGCAGCTTCAACAGCCCAAAGGAAGATTAAGGAGGAGCCAGGGAGGGCTGCTGGTGTGGGGTCTCCCCTGAAGCTGGAGAACGCAGACAGCTGGAGTGACGTGGGAGATGAAGGTGACCCTCCCAAACCCTTGGTTCGTAAGGCTGGAGCTAAGACTTGCTCCAGGAGAAAGAAGCAGAAAAAAAACCCCAAGCAGGACCCAGTGCCCTGGAAGAAAGCCAGAGGCCACCATTCCAACAGCTCTGCCGCCTTGGAGGATCCTGCGGCTGATGGTGGTGAAAATAGGGAGGCCTCAGAACACCCCCAGAGCAGCAAAAAGCCCTGTGTGAAGCAGGAGGAGTCGGCTTTGAGGAAGCCCGTGAAGTGTCCCTGGAAGTCCCCCAGAAACGCACCTCAGGGTGCCCGGCCAGAAGCTGCGGGCCCTGGAGTTGCCTCTGGGTCAGACCAAGATGATGGTTGCGAGGGCCCGCTGAAGAAAAAGGCCATGGGCTGGGCCTCGGCGAAGAGCCGAGGGGCCGTGCGGAAGAGGAAGGTGAGCTTGGGCCCCGTCTCTTACGTCCTTGTCGATGCAGAAGACGCCAAGAAGCAGCCTCTCATCCCAAAGAAGAGGCCAGGCTCCCGGAAGCGTGCGTCAGTCCAGAGGGCCCCTCGAGGCTCACAGCCCACTGAGTCGCAAGTCTCAACGTCATGGGATGCAAAGGCCAAGACAGAAGGCTCTCCTCGTGGTGAGAATGACGACAGAAGTCATTTGGGTTGTGTCAACAAGCATATGGGGGGGGAGCAGGAGTGGCAGGTGGGGGCTGATGAGCCCAAGGGGGTGGCAGGTCACAGGATCAATGAGGAGGACCCCAGTGCAGTGGAGGAGGTGGGTGACAAACAAGTTGAGGATTTAGAGGGAGAAAACCCTGACTTCCCTTGTGGGAGCCCCTGAAGGCCAACATGGGACGCCTGTGGGGGCAGGAGGTGGCAAAGCCAATCATGCAGCTATCTTTCATTGATGAGTGTCACTGTGGTATCTTCAGATCATTCTGCCACTCCATCTGCTCATCCCCCTCTGTAAGAATTGAATGGTTTGGGGTTATGTTTGTGCGGGTAGGTGGCTTTGAGGATGGAGGGTTCTGGAGGTGGGGTTGGGGGATAGAAATGTTCAGGGACATAGACAATCTCAGGAAGTAAAAAAAATTCTAAGTGACACTTCTGCTTCACCTCTTGAGCTGTCTCATTTATATCCGCAGAGCCCAGGAAACTTTGAGTTGGGCGACCACCAAGCTGAAAGAAAACCAAGGAAGTTCCCAGTTGGGAGCAAAGCTTTTTCTTGTCATTGAACGAATCAAGACTCTGGACTTTATTAGGGACCCGCTTTCAGAGGTAAATGTGCATAAGACCTTAGGTGGGAGGAATGACGGTGTACGTACCCCTGTGCTGCTTTCCCTGCCAGGCCTGCTTTACACCTCCCCCTAGACTCACCTTTGAGTCCGGTGAGTCAATAAGCAGATGGGAAAATCCTAGAACACTCATCTTGGCCCTGGGCAGGGTCACTGTTACGCTGTCCGTGCCTGGCCTTTCTCCCCCACTCCCTGCTGCTTCTGAGCGGCCGGCTGACCTAGGGCCTGGCGTTCTTAGGAGCAGGGCCGCCGTTCTCTCCCTTCACCCTCTGCGCTACTACCGCGGGCAAGTTAAGCCAAGATCCTGATGCAGACCCGGCGTCCTTACTCCACCCACTCTTCAGCTTCCACTGATCAAGAGGGTGGTGAGGTCCCAAGAGTTAGTTTTGGGGGGGGGAAATGGCCTTGAAGTATTTGAGTTTTAACTTCTGTTAATAAGAATGGTCCTTGGATTTCCCACTTGGGGTAAAACCCTCTCAGAACCTGCAGGGAGGAGGGGTGATCGGTAGGGAAGGACTCCAGCTGTCACGGCTTTCCTGCTCTGATTCCATCCACTGCCACCAAACGCTCAACAGTTTTGAGGCTAAAGACACTTCTCACATTATAGCAAGAGGGAAAAATAGTCTGAAAAATTGGCCATCAATTTCTGGCCTCTCAGTAGACCAGAACACCACGTCTCCTGTGTGCGCATGTGGAGGGGCAGGCTGGAGCGGGGGCCACCTGAGATCAGTGGTTTCCAAGTTATCCTGATGCTCAAAGATGTAATTCTAATCTATTTTTCATGTGTTAAAAAGAACTACTGGAAAGTGATCGACAGTGTCGGCAGCCTAACCCATCACGTTGGAGACTAGCAAAACTACCTTGAGTTCACGTTAACTTGTTTTTGTACAGGTCTCCAGTGAATTGTTTCTGCCATTTATTTGCATATAAATTAATTTCTTGTGTGACTCATGAGAACCAGTCTTGTACATGTCACTGAATGGGACAGGCTGATCTCCTGCCCGCCCGTAATTCACGCGCCTTGTCAGCTGCGGTGTTCAGTTGTGTGGCGGCAGGTTGCTGCATGAAGGAGGCTCCCGGTGATAATATTCTGCCAGACATTGAACTCTTCTCGTTTTCAGAGCCTCTCTTCTGACTTCCGTTCTTGTGATAAAGTTGCAAACTATCGTGATTCAACTTGGAAAACAAACTCCTTGTGACAATTCCTTGCAAAATCCTGGCTGAGTCTTACTGAAAGTGTGGAAATAAAGAAAGCAGCTTCATCCACTGCTGCTCATCACAGTTTCCCTTGGTGTGTGCAAAACAACACAGGAGCAGAGTGGACCCTCAGCTGACAAAAGCCTGCGGTCTGCAGTACCCAGTGTCAAAATCAGGTCCTCATGTTGGCGCCGTGATTAGTAATTGTCAGTATAAATGTTATAAAATTTAGCAAATTAAATATTGAGTGTGTGGGGTTTTGTTTTTGTTTTTTTAATATGTCTGTTGATTTCAGAGAGAGGAAAGGAGAGGGAGAGAGAGAGAAACATCAATGACGACAGTCATTGATCGGCTGGCTGCCTCCTGCACGCCCCCTACAGGGGGTCGAGCTCACAACCCGGGCATGTGCCCTGACCGGGAATCGAACCGGGATCTCCTGGATCCTAGGTCGATGCTCAACCGCTGAGCCATGACTGGCCGGGCTGTTTTTGTTTTAAGTAGTAAATACTCAGCCATGAAAAGCAGTGAAGTACTGATACCTGCTCCCGTGTAGCTGACCCTGCTAAACATGAAGCTCAGTGAAAGAAACCAGGCACAAACGGCTGCATGCTATGTGACTCTGCTTTCAGAACTGTCCTGAGTAGGCGAACCGGTGGAGACAGGAAGTAGATTAATGGGGGGGGGCACCAGACTGGGGAAGTGGGTACAGGGTTTCCTTGGGGGGCAGTGAAAATGTGCTGGAACCACACAGGTGGTCATCACACAACATCGGAAGTGTACTAAATGTCACAGTTGTACACTTTAGTTAGTTTTATGTTACCTGAATTTCAACTCAGTTTTTTAAAAATCTGCCAGCTGAATCATGGGCCTTTTGCGGGGAGTAAGGTGAAGGTTTTTATACCTTCCTTGCATTAAAAAGTAACCACACCAAGCCCGCGTGTTAGATGGAACCACGTCCCTGTCACTGCCCGGTGAATGAGCGCTCACTGCTGCAGACCTGGGAAGAAAGTTTTCCCTGTCCCAGTGCATTTGAATTTTTTAATCCACCTGTTTTTGGTTCGGAGACGGTTCAGCTTCCCAAGAGCCAGTTTTTAAAATTCCAGCCTGGGGTCATCTATTCTTGCATAACCGGGGAAGCAAGGTGGCACGCAGAGTGCACATGTCTGGTCACGTCTGGTTACGCTTAAGCCCTGGGGCTTGGCCTGGGTGGGAATGTTCTGGAACAACAGTGAATGTGTAGCTAATGTCAGTGATAGTAATTTCCTTTCACGCTTGAGGTGAGTTTTGAGCGTTCCTCCTCTGACTCTCACGCTTGAATAAGAAATGTGAGCATTCAGAATGTTCAAGATCAAAACTCCTCAGCAAGACTTTCCTCCCACTGCTTTCAAGGTTCTTTATGTGGCCCTGGCTGGTGTGGTTCAGTTGGTTGTAGTGTTGCCCCATAAACCAAAAGGTTGTGGGTTCAACTCTGGTCAGCACACACACCTAGGTTGCAGGCTCGATCTCCAGTGGGGGCACGCAGGAGGCAGCTGATCAATGTTTCTCTCTCTCCCTCTCTCTAAAATGAATGAAAACATATTTTTTAAAAAAAGGAAGGGTCAGATACCTATCATTGATGTGGAACAACTTGGGAAATATTTTAAGTGAAAAACACCAAGGTGCAGCAGGACACATGGAATCGGCTTCATAAAAAGGAAAAGCCTATCTGGTTACAATGGTAATGTATATGTCAGTTTTCTTTTCCTGAAGCAAAGACAATAAACTGTGAAAACTAAATTGCTCCTGAGTTGGGGGACAGTGCAGGACTTGGGGGGGCGAGCTTAATTATCCCCCTCTCTCTCACATTTGATTACACATTATTATTATTTTTTTAATATATCTTTATTGATTTCAGAGAGAGGAAGGGAGAGGGAGAGAGAGAGAGAAACATCAATGATGAGAGAGTCACTGATCGGCTGCAGCCCGCAACCTGGGCATGTGCCCTGAACGGGAATCGAACCCCGATCTCCTGGATCCTAGGTCAATGCTCAGCTGCTGAGCCAAGCCTGGCTGGGCTACACGTTATTTTTTAAATGCCGACATGGAGAGTTAGTAGGTCATTTTTCACTTTCTCTAAACTTTGCACTAAAGAACACCACTGTACTTTTTAAAAAGTCACATTAGCCCCAAACACATTCACCTGCATTGCTAAAATAACCAGATTTTTCCTGCAGTTCTTGAAAGCATTTCTTGCCATTTCTGAATGAACATTTGCCCTTTTGATAAAGCATCTTTGTTTTGGAAGGTGTAGCCCCCTGGAAGCAATTGTTCGGTACGGGCATGTCCGTGCTCGAAACACCCTACCAACTATTTCTGCAAAGCACATGCCTCGTCACACTCCGCTCGAGTGACGCTCCGGCACAGCTGCCATGGAAAAGCTCCGGCCCTACCTAATGGTTCTATAAAAGCACGTGAAGGTGTGACAACCGAGGGCGCGGCCCTGTGCTGTGGGGAACACGGGCTGGTTGCCTCCCTGTGACTTTGACATTCAGGCTAAGCAATGTGAACAGCGGCCAGTGGTCTTTAGTAACAATGAAAAAATAAAAACTCCCCACTGCCTCTTTGTTGAGCTCTTAGAGATTAACTTTTGAGTGTGAGAGAACCTGTTGAAAAATTTTTACCATATAAGAGTTACCAATGCCCTGGCTGGTGTTGCTCAGAGGGTAGAGCGTTGGCCCACACACCAAAGGGTCTGGGGTTCAATTCCCTGTCAGGGGTCTGAGTGGGGGAGGGAGGCAACCAATTGATGTGTCTCTCATGTCAATGTTTCTCTCTCCCTCTCCTCTCTCTCCCTTTCCCTCCCTCCCTCCCTTCCACTCTTTCTAAAAATCAATGGAAAATATATTCTTGGGTGAGGAATAACAAAATAAAAATAATAATAGAGAGTAACCAGGAAACTTTGAAAAAGGAGGGTAATGTGTGATGGAACAAGAGTGTAAGCCCTATTAGACCGTAAAATGCAATATAAATGTATATAGGGTGGGTAAAAGTAGGTTTACAGTTGTGAGTATGTAAAACAGTTTATTCTTGTATTATTTATTGTATTATTTTCCACGAGAACAACTGTAAACCTGCTTTTGCCCACCCTGTACATTCCTAACAGCTTGGTCCCCCGACTGCCCCGAGATTTTCGGTTTCGATGAAGGCAGTGTTGTGAGCCAGCAGGACCACGTGGTCAAGCCTTTCTCTGTAGAGTGAGGGGGTACAAGCTGGATTCCTATGCTTCTTTCACCAAAATAAATTCCAGATGTGTCAAAAATTTAAATGCAAACCACGCAACCATCAAGGGCAAAAAATTTTGGTGAGTTATATGCTGTTAGACATGGAGGAAATCTTTTTCTAAGCAGAAAAAACTCAGAAACTCTGAGGAGCAAGCTCAATTCATCTGAATTTTAAAGCTTGTATGTGTCCAAAGAATCATTAAAAAAATTTAAAAACTGCCAAACTGTGAATGCAAATATTTGAAATCCTTCCACTGGTGTATACCTTTTTTCTCTATTTCCAAAACCTTTTACTTATTGTATTTTTCTTAAATATTTTAATGGTTCTTAAATGTGCTGGTCTCTTTTTTTTCTTTTCTTCTTTATCCTAACCCGAGGATATTTTTCCCCTTGCGTTTCAGAGAGTGGGAGGGGGGAGAGAGAGAGACATCGATTGGTTGCCTCCCGCACTTGCCCTGACCCAGGCCTGGGATCGAGCCTGCAACCGAGGCATGGGCACTGGCCAGGACCAGACCTGGGACCCTTCAGTCCACTGCCGATGCTCTAACCACTGAGCAACCGGCTCGGGCCTCACTTTCTTTTCCACAATGTCCTGGCTTGTGTGACCTGGTTACAGTTTTTAAACAGCTGCCTGTTCTAATTTGGTTTCGCAGGTCCAGAAAAATTCAATGGGGCGGTGGGGGATGTTAAAACATCTGACTGGAATTGCAGTGCTCTTGTCATTTCTTACCACATGAGAAAGCACAGGGGAAATACCCAGAATTTGCCAGCGTGGAGCCATCTAGGATGGCCAGCCCTGGTGTTCAAACTCCTTACACAACCATTTGTTGTCATAAAGCTCCGTGTCACCAGGGCTGAGTTAATCTTTGACAGATGCTCTGTCATTTCTTGGAGCCTGAGGAATGCGAGCAGGGGCAGCTGCCAGGTTGGCCAGTCTCGCACGCGAGGACATGCCCGGCCGGATACTCAGATGGGACTGTCCCCTTGGGCAGTGACAGATTTACAAGAGCAATCAGGCCTGCAGGAAAAGGGGGAAAAGAAAAAAGAATCATGGCTACAGCCAATACTGTGGTCTTGGCTGCCAGCACGTTTTATTTTTAGGTTGCAGTGGTTGGTTTTATTTAATAAGGCTCCGTATAAAGGGGAAAACAAGAAATGACCCATAATCCCACTGCCAAAATAGCCCCTGAGGACACTTTAAAATAAGGTCTGCACAGTGTTAGATATTCACACAGAGCAGAATCGAAAATAGAAAAGCCCCCCCCTTCCTCTATCTGCCCCATAGCCTACGGCCATCACAGCTTCTCGGCTCTATATGTCCATATGTGCATGTCCATGCGTCTGTGTATATATGTGTGTGAATGTATGTGTGTGTGCATATGCGTGTGTGCATATGTACATATCTGTATGTGTGCATTTATGTATATACACGGGCAGTTATGTACACATGTGCATGCATGTGTGTATAAATTTATATGTGTGTGCATACGTATGTATGTGTGCACATGATTGTGGATATGTGTGCGTGTGGATATATGTGTGTATGACCAGAGCAGAAGCAGCAGGTGCCTTAGAGATCTAACCTCGGAAGTTGTGCAGCGTGGCCAGTGCCTCACAGGCTGGGTACTAGACTAAGAGTGTTGGTTATAAACTAAACAACTAGATAAAGTGCACACACAAGACAGAAACAGAAGAGTGTCGGTGAAGAGAGCAGGTCACCAAAGGGGGTTCGTGAATGACTGAATTCTCTGTGTTGAGGTCCAAAATTCAAAACAAAATTCTCGATTTCTCTTTTATTCTTCATAATCTGGATCAAAGATGACTTCTCATGGGAGTCATGGTTGATCTTAGAGTATTGCCCCCAAATTTTGAAACAGCAAACGACATTCTTGAAAAATGTCAATCATTTTTCTTGAATAACTCATTGGTTAAATGCAGTGAAGTGACTAAATATTAAATACAGTTCTTGATGGTTATTTTATGTGGTTATAAAT